TGAATAGAAATTCTGGACTGCGCCATGTTGAGCTGTAAAGATACTTAAAAGAAGATCCAACAAATATGCAACAATTTACGACAATTGTAAATGTTAGACACCAAACGCCAGTGGTGATGCAACCAAAACAACTATACACAAGCCAGAAGAACAATTGTCACTACGTCAGAAAGACAATCCTCCTATCACTAGGACCAATAAAATCCTACATTGTGAAAAACAGGAAGAACCACTTGTCAAAGACTACTGGAACACCCTCTTATTTCTTCCTAGGAAGATTATAAGGAATATATTCAAAGTAGTCACTAATTCCACCAGACAGCTTATCAATATAACAACCTGCTGGTCAAGTATCCAGCACAACCACTGAATACTAATACACTGTTGAAAGATTAGATTTACAATATACAAAGATCCCGGACATAAGACAACATTTTACGATAATGACTGTCGTTTGGCAGTTTTGTCGCGCGCCTTTACTTACGGGATATTTTCACAAATCCCTCAGGTGCTCTGAGACAGGAGTGTTTTGAATGGTGGCTCTCGTTCGTCTAGAGGCCTAACCCTCGGTTCAAACTTTCCATTCAACCTGTCTCAGGGATGAGGTGACTCGAGCTCTGACTCCACAGGGTTATTATGAACACTTGGGTACCTCTCGGCCAGACGTCCTCATCACTAATTTCCCCCCAGACTGGTAACAATGTAACACAGTCAAACAAGTAAACAACAGTGATTATGACAAGACGTGAATACCTTTCTAACTATGACAATTAATTCACCACAGTGATTTAGCTAAGAACAGCAAGACTGGTGAACTATAATTGAACTGTATTAATAACTTCATAACAAGAAAGATCAAAAGTAGCACGAAGAATCAAATGAAAGATTGTTGAATTCTCTAAAGAACAGAGACAAAGAAAGAGTCTTCCTCCTAATCTACGTCTCTTTCCGGTATCATCACAACTGAGGAGTGGGACAGATTATAAAGGCCCATTTGGAATCAAGCTGCCTCGGATTGTCAGTCTGACTTATCTGTTTAGATCTTGTAGCTCCTCAGGATGCCGGAATGGAGTTTCGGACCACCTCACTTCACAGAACGACTACACGAGAACGATGCAGCTTCTGGAATTGATCAAGGACAATCAACTCGAGATCGGAAGATGTCGACTCTAGTACCGCCTACACATTCAGCAACAGCAATTCACCACACGTCAGTTGCTTCTTGGGTGGTGGTAGGTGGAAGCACTCAGTTAGACCACGGACGCTCGTTGGATCTTTAGAAATCTCATGACAAATGGAAAGAGAATAAAGAGTCTTGTCTTTTTAACGGTTAAGTGGCAACACAAAAGGAATACGTCTGCCTCATAGACCGGACCATAGAGAAGTGACGCATAAAAATACAGTCCCCAACTACGGCAGTTGGTGTAAGAATCCTGCTCACGTATGCGGTGAAGTGGTCAGACAATTTATTTTAAATAAGCGTAGAAAATGTGTCCTAACGTGTAAATCGACACTAAAAGCCTAAAAGAATCAATATCAGAGTGATTTATAGGGATTTTTCTTATCTGGACTCCCCCACAACAAACGAACTATATAACTACGGTCGGCCTAACCTGTATCATAGTTACAATGACGATTTTGGGGGTGTTCAGACTGTGGACCTGCCTCATGCGGTAGGTGTGTGGATTCTGTCATGCGACAGTAAGTATATGTACTGATTTCAGCACTGGCGTGGGGTGTAAATAAAAAAAAGTAAAGGACCCTTTTCCACGCCTTTAGGTGTATAGGGCATACAGGGCTAGACCCATGCCTTTATAGACCAATCGGCTCAAGATAGGTGATGTGGTCAGCATCATGCCAGCCGCCTTTACTTCCCGGGACTGCACCCGGTACCCACTTAAGGCTGGGTCGACCCGGGACGTGTGGTGTAAACTAACACAAATTAGAAACAACGGAATGCATCAACTATAGCCAGACTGCTTGAACGCATGACGAGAAAACGTATGCCGCTAGCATGTTAAATAAATTCCGAGGTATCAACGTAATCATAAAATGTGCTACATAAGGTGTAATCAGATAATCGCAGATCCAACTTCATAGCAATCGGGTCATCCCCCTCCCCCCCCCCTTTTTCCCATAGTTGCACCACTCCTGTGCCAATTAAAACCACATAGAATCTTCATCACCTTTGTGGGGGGGGGGGGGGGGGGAATGAACACAAACTGCAGTCTTCGCAGATCCAACAGCATACCATTATCATCAGGTGCCTTGCCGACTGGCTTGGGCGATCATGCCTTTCCACAGTCTTCGATCTACTGCAGCATGTATCAGTTCGTCCAACAGCATTCACCAAGATTAAATGCATTCCAACAGCCAGAAGTGCCAACACAAACAGTCCGACAAGTGAAATGCACTTTATCGTTGATGGGATTATTATTATTATCATTACTATTAATATTATTATTATTAATGTGCTGAATAGTAAATAAATATAATAATATACTTGAAACAATATGTATAAATAATTATTTTTAAAGAAACGTTACATACTTGGTTAAAGGGAGTCTCTTAAAAAGGACGGGGATGGGGGTGCTCTAACAAGCCTTGCCTACTCCGAAGGGACCTAGCTTTCGCTACAGACCGCAATTGCCCATCATTGATTTTCCTATCATGGGAAAACAACAAGCAGCCGCACCTACACCAAGGAAGAGGATGGCCATACCAGCAGCCTCACCGGCAGGCGCCCCTATCACGGCGCCTCGCACACCTACGCCAACTGAAGCCGCCCCCATCGTGGCGCCAGCACCAGAAGCCGCCCCTATCGAGGCGCCGACACCTGAAGCCTCCCCTATCGTGGAGCCACCACCTAAAGCCGCCCCAGTCGTGGCGCAGGGACCTACCGGCACTCGCTTACCTAAGCAGCAGCCTGGAGACCACACCACAGACATCATGCAGTGCTCACGCTGCAACAGGGCGTGGCACACCGCCGCGACCTGTCGCAGTGGCCCTATTTGTCGGTACTGCTCGGGGGCCCACGACATCAAGGAGCGCCCGCTAGCGAAACTCGATAACGACTTCAAAAAGCCTAACAAAAAGCGGAAATGCAGCAACTGCTCAGGTTCACACAGTGCGAGGTACCTGGGGTGCCCATACCTTAAGAAGTGCAGGAGAGAAATGACAGCCGCCACAGCCAGAGACACATACCAGGCGCCCAGACAGCCAGAGGCAAGACCACCGAGAAACACACAAAGAGACAAACAAAACGATAAGGCACGCTCCGCCACCATTCAAAACGATATACCGCAAATAGTCGACGAACTGAGAAGCCAAATCACAGCACTCCAGAAAGAAAGAACCACCGCCGCCGCTGAAAGAACGGAGACCCTGGAACTGATTTCCCTACTGCTAGGGGAGATCAAGGACCTAAAGGCAGAAAGGCTGGCATACGCTACCCAGCAAACAAACAGACAGTCAGAAGACGCAGAAAACCTTCAAAAGACCAGAGAGCTACTTACCAGCCTCAGAGCAACCCAGGCAGAAGAAGAAGTACGCCGCCAGTCAGAGAGAGAGGAGAGAAGGAAGGAGCTGGCCGAGATTACAAATGCACGGGAAGCCGCATGCCACGAAGCCGCCCAGCTAGAGAAAGCCACCGCAGAAGCCATAACAGCAGCACAAGCAGCTAAGACAGAAAGAGCCCTGCTGGAGAAAGCCACCGCAGAAGCCATAACAGCAGCACAAGCAGCTAAGACAGAAAGAGCCCTGCTGGAGAAAGAAAGAAATGCCGCAAAAAAGCCGAATACCAACAAGGCCGACAAAGGCGTCTCCACTGACAACCTAACAACGAAGCATCAGGCGCAAATGACCGAACCAGAACATGATGAAACCAACGAAGAAGACTCTGAAGAGATCCCAGTCATCACAGACACCGAACAGTCAGATGGAGAGATCATTTCCGATGAAGAATACACACAAGCAGAGCAGGAGCTTCCGACTGCCAGCAGTGCACCGCCCAAAGAACCGGCCCCGTATATCTTCGACAAGGAGCAGTTCATAAGAGACCAGGAAGAACACTATGCACTGGAGAACTGCCAAGTATGGAACGCAAAAGAGCAAAAATGGGGCCCACCGAAAACCACTCCCACCCAGAGAAACAACCGAGGAAGGCGACGACGACGCTACTAACGTAGCAGAAACCAAAAAAACCGAGCCGCCATCTTTCTGGAAAAACCATCCCGCCAAACGAACAACGCCAGTACGCCGCCAGAACCTGACAAGCAGAAGCCAGACCCCACCCATCCCGTTCCAGGCCACCCGGCACATGTGGCTGTCCTTTTCAGGACAGCCATGTCCACTCCCTAAACCTGCAAGCCGCCCGCCAAGCCCACGCTGCTAACAAGTCGCAACCAATGAAAGAAAACTCAGGCGAAAACCATCGCCACAAAAGTAAAAAATCCAGCTCAGATAGCAAATGGCTCGTCCTTGAAAAAACAGGCCATCAGGCAGTTAAAAAAGGACTAAGTTTGGAATTTTTGTTTTTCTTCAAACGAACGAACGAACGGTGCGGGGGTGAGGGTGAGGGATCCCCCATTTGTTTTGGGGTGGGGGGGGTGGGGTGTACTCAAGGGACTGGAATCCCTGAGCTAAAAAAAAAACTATAAGACCTTTTAGGCGGCGACATTGGCGCAATGGGTATTTAGTGCTAGTCACATTTTTCATACAGACCGATCGACACTCAGTGAGTGACGTAACTGCACTTTGCCTTCCCAGGTAATCTCCTAGTACCCATCCTCAGCAGTCGATCTTGAAGCCGTCAAGCTGGGTAAAAAAATATCTGACTCCTCGCGGTTTCGAACCGAAGCCCTTCTTGTAGGCAGGCAAACGGCTAACCACTGCACTGTCACAGCTCCAACAAGTTGAATTCATAAGATACTGAAAATTAAAGCGCACATAAACCCCGAGCATCAAAGTCCGTACTCACAGCGCAAAAAATAAGTACTCACTGTATGTTAACATCATCTCATTGTAAGCACAGATGACGCATGAATCCACGCAGGCTAATGTACAAATGAGACACAAATACAGATTGCTGAAATCAGAGCGCAAGTGTGTAGCTGAAAACAGTATGCTCGCCAATAATGCTTCCTCTGAATAAAAGATCCGCTAAGACTGGTACTGTGCGGAAACCTTGACACTGAAATAACGATCCAGACAAACATCACGTGATAACAGCAGTGCTGAATTATACAGCTCAAGTATGTGACATGGGAGCATCGGGAGCCCATACAAGTAATACACGTGTCTGTAGGTCTGGAAGACAACTGTTCGAATCCTAGCCGGGGCGCTATTTTAAAAATCTTTTTTTTCACAGTTTGTTGCAGACTGGGCATTTCCCATGCGCGCTTAGTCCCTCAGGATTGCAGTCTGTAAGATGTTTATGTTTATTCGACTAATCAACATCATGGCACACGGGTGTAACCGATAAGTGCTCCGTTCCACTTCTAACTCAAGCTTGAGTCTGAACAATCTCAGCGCAGTGCACGAGCTCCGTTGCACCGACGAGGATCTTGAAATACGTTGGGTAGATTTTTAAATAAAAATTTTGCCCGGGCAGATCCGTTAGGCTACTCTTTTCGATTTTCAACTGCCAAGGGATTGTTTTACGTGCGCAAGAATACACACGGGCGTCCAGTCTTACTACCCAGAAACCAAAGAAAATTACTAAAACTGAGGCTTGAACACGGGACCTCCAGCACCCGAGGCCGACACCATACCTCAAGACCACCCAGTCCCCTAGTCTGTAAGATTAGTATATGAACAATGATAATCAGATAGATACAAATCCCTAAAAAACCCGTTGAGCCGTATATCTATCTATCTATCTATCTATCTATCTATCTATCTATCTATCTATCTATCTATCTATCTATCTATCTATGCCCGACTCCTTAGCGTAGTTGGCTAAACCGGACTGCGCGGTGACCGGGTGACGAACTCCTTGTGGTCGGGGTTCACGCCCGGGGGTTGGCAGAAAAGCCACATTTCTCCAAGATTTACGGTATTTATCATGGAATCAAGGCCGAAGGGTTGCGATATCCATAAAACCGAGCCTAAGGGTTAACAACTCAACACTTCTGGATACCCCCCCCCCCCCCAAAAAAAAAACTATCTATCTATCTATCTATCTATCTATCTATCTATCTATCTATCTATCTATCTATCTATCTATCTATCTATCTATCTATCTATCTATCTATCTATCTATCTATCTATCTATCTGTCTGTCTGTCTGTCTGTCTGTCTGTCTGTCTGTCTGTCTGTCTGTCTGTCTGTCTGTCTGTCTGTCTGTCTGTCTGTCTGTCTGTCTGTCTGTCTGTCTGTCTGTCTGTCTGTCTGTCTGTCTGTCTCTCTCTCTCTCTCTCTCTCTGTGTAATGCTGTTAAGCGTCGCTAGCACGGCTAATGATCGGTCTCTTGGATAGTGCGCACTCTTTAGCTCACTGCATGGTGATATTGATGAGTTTCAGCAAGTTACTAACTCCATCTATCCACTTAATCTTGGCATTCCTCTGCCTCCTGCTGTTTCCATTCACATGTATGCTCTTGCAACCTGTGATGCTGGGTTCATTCTGACCAGGTGGCTAAACTATTTCAGTCCTTGTTTTTCAATAAATCTAGTTACTATATTCTTCTCATCCTTCTAATGACATCGTCGTGTCTTTGATGGTCTCTTCTTGTTATGCTGACTGCTCTTCTCAAACATCTCATCTCACACGTGGTTAGTTTCCGCTCTTGTTCTTTTACTAATGCCCGGGTTTGGCATTGGTCACTCAATGTAGGGAAAAGACTGCGCTTAACATTCCATTTAAAGTTAGTTGCGTATCATTTACATGGTTGCAGACCCAACCCTTTTCTCTTCCATACCACTACTTAAAAGTCTGACATGCTAGCGATCCGAAGAGGTACATCCTTAATGAGAATACAACGGGAAAAGAAAGTCCAGATACCCGGTTTAGCCGCCCAACAAGTTATGATTATGTTACTCAAAATGGCCACCCAAAGTACTTCCCCGGTTTAGCCTAGAATCTTAGGCGAATATGAAAGGCAACATTTGCGCAACAGAAAATTATAAAATCTTTGCCAAATTCTGTGGTACGCAGAGGCGCCGAATCTGGAGCTTATGTCCCTTGCTCCATCTCCCCCCCCCCCCCCCCCCCCCCCCCCCCCCCTTTCCATTCAGTTCACCTCAATAATTATTTTATCAGGGAATGAAGCCCCTTTAAGGCTGTATAAAAAGTATCTGTTAAAGTATTCGTTTCTACATTTCATATTATTTCAAGCACATTATCAGATTTATTTGGAATCGAACAGAATAAAAATAGTGGTAACAGTATTAATAAAATACAAATAATTTATTTACATGGTTAAAGGAGATCTCTTATCCCCCTTACACAATTACTGGGCGCCCAGTAATCACCTCCCTTAATTTTTTTAGATTGAGGGGTGGGGGGGTGGGGGGGGGGGACTTCAAGTACCTCATCCCTTGCCCCAGCCCCCTCCATCGCTGCATATAATTAAATAGAGAAGGCCAAGAAGATAAACTGGCAATATGTACAAAGATTGAGCGCAAGCAACAGCTGTGATTATGACACAAACCGGTTCGATTGATATCGATATGGTCAAGATACTTAATCTCTCTGCTGACTAAATACAGGGATGTAGGCGTGCGTGCATGTGTGGGGTAAATAATAACGATCATGCTTGCTGCAGCAGTCAAGGCGATAGAAATAGTATATAGAGAAGACAGATACTGTGCAAAGCAACAATGACTGTGCTAAGCAACAATGACTGTGCTAAGCAACAATGACTGTGCTAAGCAACAATGCATACAAACTCTAGATAATGCACTCCACGCGTGTATACATGGATGCTGTATCATCAATTATAAAATGGAAGTAAAAGAACGAACGAATTTTTTTTCAAAGGGTCACAAATTGGGCACGCAGGCCCGTCTTCCAAACAGCAGTCTTTCACATTGCAGCTGTATTTTATCAATAAGCATGTTATATTCATATGATAATATGCATATTATTAATATCAAAAAAGAGAGAGAAAAAAGCACAAAATCATAAGTGGTAAAATGCATGCACACACACACCCACCCACCCACTCACTTAAACACACCCACATACCTTCACACACACATAAACACACCCTATTCACCCACATACATAACTACATACCCACACAGACACGCACATTCCACACACATACAAACATACAGATATACACACACAGACATACCCATAGAAACAAATGCAGACACACACACACACACACAAATAGACATACGCGCACATACCCAATCACACACGCAGATACACACACACACACATACATGCGACACACACACACACACACACACACACACAAACTGTCATACACTCACACGCAGACACACACAGACACATATGCGCAAACACACGTAAATACAAACACACACAGATGCACTCGGAGACACACACGCAATCGCAGACACACACACACATGAGCTGATGCTTACACAGACACATACACAACCACACACACGCAGAAGTATACGCAGGCATTCATATACACGTGCACACACAGAGATACACGCAGACACACGCCCACAGACACACAAACGCAAACACATACGGAGACATACATATACACAGGCACACACGCAGACACACATACACACACATGTAGACACATCCAGAGACACTACAAGCAGAGATACACACAGACAAACACTCACAGACATTTACACACAGACATACATAGATATATACACACAGAGATGCGCATATACACAGGCATTCACACAGGCAACACGAACTAGACAGACTTAGCGAGTGGTGCCAGGAATCGAGAGCTCAGGTGAACCCGTCCAAAGCCTCCTTAACATGGTTCTCTCTGAATACCCACATCGTTAGTACACCAACGCCGTCGTAAGCATCTGTGGTGTGGACATCGAGAGAACGGACACCATGAAATACCTGGGCATGACATTTGACAGATGCTTGTCATACAAATGCCACGTAGACAACGTCATACTTAGAGCCAGAAAAGGTTTGACAGCACTCAAGGTGCTAGCAGCAGCTGATTTTGAACAACGCCTACTTTTCCTTCTCTATCAAGGGCTTGTGCTTAGCGTCATTGACTATGGTCTCGGCCTCCTCACTGTCAGCAAAACCCAGCTAGAAAGACTGGACCGAGTACAGAATGAGGCCATGAGACTCATACTCGGCTGCACAAAAGACACCTCCTGCAACGCCATGCGTTATATCCTGGGTCTGCCGACTATGACTAGCAGATACAAAGTGGCACAGGTCAAGGCTTACATGAGGGTATCGTCAGACGTTAACCACCCACTACACAAAGCTATTCACGACACAAAATGAACGCGTCTCAAAAGAGGCCGCTCTTGGATGGCAAAGGCTGAGGATTTAATCCAGCAGGTATGTGACCTAGACGTGATCAGCCACGGAAAAGAATGGACGAATACACCAGTAGACATGCATGGCATCTCTAAGGTTGTCATCACACTCGGAAGGTACTGCAGGGATCAAATTCCTGCGGCCGTAGACACAGAAGTAAGGGAACTGATAGATCAGCATTCAGACCCAGAAGATACCATCATCTACACAGATGGATCCGTGAAGCGGATCAAGGTCAGCATGGGCATACACAGCGCAAAGAAAGGGGAAAACAATACATGAGGACAGCGGCGCTTACCAGACAACCACGTCAAGCATGACAATGGAAATAGCCGCTGCTTCTAGAGCTTTAGCGTGGGTATCCGAGCAAACCGCCACACAGGCAGTAATTGTCTCAGACTCAATGAATATGCTTCAGAAGATAGCAACAGGCAGTATGCGCTCTGAATGGATAGAAAGCATTCGGAAATCGCACTTAACCTCCGTAACCTGGATCTACACACCGGGTCATGCGGGCGTGGAGGGAAATGAGCGAGCAGACCAACTGGCAAGCACTG